CAGGATGCGCTCAGGACAGTTCAGACATTGCAGTGCATCAGAGGTAAAAAAACCCCCGATATAAATACTGTTCAGTTTCTTGCACAGACCGATCGTTTCGTGTATTTACACATCAATGTATCGTCACGAGCTGCAGGGTTTAATTTGGATTTGTCTGTGCATGTTTTTTTTACTCTCATAGATTTTGTTACCATTGCCATGCATTATACGATTGATAGACTGCAACAGTTGGAGTTAAAAATCATCATTTGTGTTCTACTGAAGAAACAAAGTCACCTACATCTTGGATGCCCTGGGGTTAAGCAGATAAACATCAAATTTTAATTTTTGGGTGAACTATCCCTTTAACCGCGAATAATGCGGAATCGGTAACGGTATGTGTACAGTCAGGCCATGTCCACACATACACGGGTATTTTTATAAACAGAGTTTTTCCTTCTTCCGTTTAAAAAAAAATCTCCATCCACATGAAAACGCAAGCTATGAAGCACTGTCAAGAGCATGCCTAACCAACAGCTGGCGATATAATCTCAACCGTAAAGTCATGTTGGCCAATCAGAAGCCTGAAAAAGTCTCCAGTAGGCGGAGATAACTGAGTACCTATAGAGTAGTACTGCATCCTTCATATCTCCAAAAATTCTTTAGTTTTATCATATTTATAAAAGAAAGATACAGCTTTATGATTCTCTCCGAAAACAGCCGAGCTCCTGGAGGAGCGCCATGGGCAGAGCTAAAGAGTGACTAGCACTTGAGCGCCGATTGCCAACAAAACAGACATTTGAGGCAGTTTCACTTACCATCTGCAGTTCTGAATCATGACAAGGATCTTTTATAGCTGGGACCGCTCCATATTTCAGTATCAAACGATGTGCAAATCCAGCGTTGAACTGGGCCTTGTTTATAAAACGTTCGTCAACAAACACACTTGCGAAACTCCGTTGCTGCCCCGGAAAACAAAGTGCATCCGCTGTTTACGTAATGCTGGATTCTTCGGGAAGCTGAACAAGGTTATCTTTCCCTTACAACCAAAAACACACTTCTTTGGATTGGAGACATTCTTCCCGAGCAAGT